CAGCTGGAGATGGAGAATGGTCCTAACAAACCCATTTTCAGGTCTGCAGCTGACACTACGGCTTTGCTGCAGCTCCTTCCTGGAGGTCTGTGCTCAGCATCGAGCCAAGCTGCCCTGCAGTGGGCAGCAGCTCTGTGTGGGAAAGGCCCACTCGGGTTCATAGGATCATGGAATCCTTACGGTTGGAAGGGACCTCTAGAGATCATCTAGTCCAACTCCCCTGCACACGCAGGGTCACCTAGAGCACCTGGCGCACAGGACTGCGTCCAAGCGGGTTTGAAGATCTCCAGAGAAGGAGACTCCACAACCTCTCTGGACGGTCTGTTCCAGTGCTCTGGCACCCTCACTGTTGAGTAACTTTTCCTTAAGTTGCTGTGGAACTTTGGATGCTTCAGTTTGTGGCCATTTCCTCTAGTTCTGTGGGTGGCCACCAGTGAAAAGAGGCCGGCCCCATCCTCCTCACTGCCTCCCTTGAGGTACTTCTAGACACTGCTCAGGTCCCCTCTCAGCCTTCTCTTCTCCAGCTGAACAGGCCCAGCTCCCTCAGCCTCTCCTCATAGGGCAGATGTTCCAGGCCCCTGATCATCCTTGTAGCCCTGCGCTGGACTCTCTCCAGCAGCTCCACAGCCCTCTTGTGGGCTCTGCTAGGCCGGCCCCGAGCCCTCTTGGCCACCTCCACGGCTGAGATATTTGCCACGCTGTCCCTCGGCCAGCTTTTCTAGAGGCCTCTGGTCTTGAATAAATGAAAGTATCGATGGTCGCAGGCGCGAGGAGGCCGGGGCAGTGAGGTGGTGACTGGAGGAGCAGCCCGTTGTCGCAGGCCCGCGTGGGCAACGTGCGTGTCGCCTGCTCCCTGCCAAGGCAGCCCAGGAGGCTCTCAACAGCATGTGCTGTTTTCTTTAGGACAGAAAAGATGAAACTTTACTTTAAAAAAATGAGGGAGATAATGGCAACCATATTTTAACTGGACCGACTGTAAATTACCTGGCTTGAAACCCTGAAATCTGATGGAAGGTGCCAGATTTCTTTCTTAGCCTGGCAGCAAATGAAGGCAGTGTCTAATGTCCTGCAGAATCAAGTTTTAAGTCCCAGGTAGCTCTGATTTTTTTGTGTGTGTTCTGGAGCTGATGTTCTCTCCCTGCCCTTGCCAGTTCATGGCAGTACCTTGGGGTACAGGGGATTTTAAGGGAAGCAAATGCTACTTGTCTGATACAGCATCATCCTAGCTGAACAGATACAGGAGGCCCTGGCCTGCTGCATCAACAACTGTTGCAAGATTAGCTAGAAATAAAGTGTTCCTGGTCTCCAAAAGTGATCTTGCTCTTTGAGATGTTTGATGTGGCGTGATCCGTCATTACAAAATTGTCCTAGTGTACATGCACTGTCTTTTGCGTGTGTAAAACTTGTTGAAATTATAAAGGGAGGAGGTTGTTCATGAGACTTGTCTCTGTGCTTCCTCTCTTTAGCAGAACATATATTTGTGTAAGAACCTTCCCTGTGTGATAAATCCTTGTTCTCTTTTGTTTCCAGGACAGCCAGTGTGGGACTGTAATTGATGTCAACATAGAGTGTGCTGTGAAGCTGGTAGGAACCAACTGTATCCTCTACCCTGTCAACAGCAAAGACCTGCAACATATCTGGGTGAGAATGGAACCAAAATGTGTGTGGGGACCAGGACTTGGTTATTTGGAAGATGATGCTGTATTCCAACAACTATATGCAAGGGAAATATCTGTATTGTGTGTGGTGCATCTGGAACTTGATTTTAGCCTAAGCTTAGCAAAAGTATCCTCTGGAAAAGGACTGTGCAGCATCCCATCTTCCCTCCAGCTCTTCCATGTTTCTGGTCACCCCATTGAGACCAGTTAGACTGGAAGGACTAGGCTGGTGAGAAAGCTTCTGTACTGAGTTTAGTGTGTTGACCCATCACAGCCCTGTACTATGATGGTTTTGAGCTGCAATATTAATGTACCAGCAGGTTGTAAAAGCGTTGATATGAGTCAAGCATATTTCTATCTGAAGCAATCTGAGACATGCCTGGTTCTCCCCGTCGAGTGGGTGATTTCCAGAAATCAAGTGGCATAGTGGCATCATTCTTCCTCTGAGAAAAAGATCCTAGAGAGGAGTGCTACAAACCCTTTGCCAGAAATGGGCCTGTAGCTAGGCTCAGTGATTTAAAAAAAAAAAAAAAAAAAATCACCACTGGCTGAAGGCCTGCGCAAGCAGCCTCTGCTTTGCAGAGTCCATACCTTCTGAACACAATAAGACCCTTGATCTGGCAAGTTTAAAATCAGAGATGATAAAATAAAGCCAGATCCGTGTGGAGAATCCAGGCTATGTTCTGACCGCAAAGCAAGTGCTCTTCTGCGTTCCTCAATTCCTGCTTGCAGCAAGGCCTGCAGGTTCAGTCCTAAATCCTTCCGAGCTCGTTATCCAGGCTGCATTGTGTGAGGACTTGCTTGAGGACATGAAGGATAAGAATTGCTGTTAATGAGGCTCGTCTATTTCTTTGTAGCCGTTCATGTATGGTGATTACATAGCCTATGACTGCTGGCTGGGCAAGGTCTATGATTTGAAGAACCAGGTGATCCTGAAGCTTTCCAATGGAGCCAGGTACCTCTCTCTGTGAACACTGTCTCCCTTTCTCTTCGGTTTCATCATCCTGATCTATTTTAGGAGAGCTAGAAACAGGCTTGGCTTCTCATTCACATACTGGCAAGTCATCTGCTTGCGTTATTTTCAGATATAGGGGAATAAGAATTCATGTTGTTCTCCGAGACCATTAGGGTTCACTGGCCATGTTTGGAAAGGTGTCTGAAAGATTATTATTATCTTTTTTAATACCAGCAGATCAGTTTTCCAGAACTAAGGTACTTTGATTTAAAACAATACTTCTGCTCCCAAAAAGATGCATCACATCTAATCCAGGTGTTTTCTCAGTAGGAGAGCATACCTTCACTGAGATATAAGGAAGGAGGATACTTACCTTAAAACAACTTTAGAAACTTGGACTCAGCAGGTTATCAGGTTTTTTAAGACCAAGAAGTAGCTCAAGGTTGAGCGTGAGCTGGTAAAAGCATCACTGTTTTATCTTCACTGTGGTTTGTAGCTGTACTGGGATTTTTTCAGCAAAGACAAAATCTTACGTTATACCTCTAGAGAGATTTAAGCAGAGATATTTAAAGAAATATCTGATTAATTCTGTAGTTCTGCAAAGCCAATAGGAAGATCTGAATTCTGTTCCTTGCACATGTTGAACAGTTGCTTGGGAAGCTAAAACCTTCTGAAAACCTACAGCCACTTATGTTCCACTCGGTGTGCAGAGATCCAGCATATATTGCAGGGTGTATGTACAGAGCTGCTCAGGCAGTGACAGTTGCTCTGGTGGGGTTTGCACCCCAGTTGGATGGCTCTGGCAACGTCTCTTCTCTGTTTTGCAGATGTTCTATGAGCACAGAAGATGGATCCAAGCTGTATGATGTTTGCCCTCACGTCAGTGACTCGGTGAGCTCCTGCTTCTCTTTGGGGTCTTTTGGATCAACTTTAGGCCTTCTGTGTAGGATGGAAGGGGAAGACAAAACCATAATCTTTTATTAATTCTAAAAAATTAAGTGACATAGCTGAAAAGCACTTTCCCTTTCAAGGGAAGAAAAGTGAGTAGTGTAACAGGATGTAGCTTAAAGGTAATGTTAGTAATGAGCAGGTTTTCAGGAGGTATTAAAATAGTATAATCCAGCTGCTTCCTTTGCAAACAACTTGCATAACCTGCAGTCAGATCAGATGGCTGATGTCAAGGTAGTTCTACCTTCTCAGTACACCTGCCCGTGCTTGGAATAGCTCTTATTTCATTTAGCACTTTCAAATGGCTTCCCTTTTTGCAAAAAAGCATATTGTTTAAATGGTATTCTGCTTAAAAAAATGTATTTTTAGATAACGTAAAATAAAAATAAACTGCGCCTCTTGCCAGTCAGGCCACTTTTGAAGCATGTGTAGTCGTCTAGAGATTTGCACTTGAGTGTTAAAAATGAGTCGTCTCCTGCGTTACTCTTGATCTTTTGCTCAGAATTGCTGTGTCTGCGTTCAGTGCTTACCTGATTTAGCTTTTGTCACGCTGCTGTTATCCATTCTGACAAATTACAAGACTTGTATTTTTGTGCCGAGTATTTTATCTGCCTGAAACTGCTCTGTCCGCCCCCACATCCCAAGTCTTTGACTCGTCAAGTCACTCTAAATATTAGTGGAAAAGATTTCCAGCAGTGTCATTGTTCTGGTGGCAGTCCTGTTGTGTTTTCAAAGGAGACTCACGCTTAACTAACCTACCAGAGAGAGTTAAGCTTAATCTGTCGAGAAGAGAAGGAAGGCAGAAATCCTGTCTGAGAGCTGTAGGTGCTTGAGTTAGAGCAGGTAAAAGAAATGGGGTGTCCTCTCCCAGGACTCGGCCCACCCTGGCTGCCTCGTTACAGACGTTTGGGTGAAATCCTTAGCTTTGGTTTCCTGCGGGCACCTTTGCTTCTCCGCCACTGAGCCCTAGTCCTGTACGAGTGTGTGACAGTGTAGGTTGCCATAGAAACTGTTAGGTTGACTTCAGGAGAGGAATGAGTCTTAAGGAGAAGGGCAACTTGCAGATGAGGCTTCCCATTTTCAGATAATCCGACTGATCATGAACAGGAAAAGAGAAATGCTAGAATCCCAATCTGGAGAGCAAAAGCCCTTTACACTGCCTTTTTTTCCCTCTCTCTCTCTCCCCCACAGGGTCTCTTCTTTGATGATTCATACGGCTTTTATCCCGGGCAAGTCCTCATCGGGCCTTCTAAAGTCTTTTCCAGCGTGCAGTGGCTCTCGGGTGTGAAGCCTGTTCTGAGCACAAAAAGCAAGTTCAGGGTGGTGGTGGAAGAGGTAAGGATTGATGGGCTGCCACGGCTGCTTCCTGCACAGGACGGTTCCCTGGCTGGTGTTTTGGAGCCTGCTCAGCTTGCCACGGTCACCTCCCCAGAGCAAACGTTCTGCAGCTCTGTTCCTCTGGTGTGACAAATGTCTCCTTGTGCACTGGCAGGCTCTGGAGCACAGTTTGGCTTTTCCTCTCAAGGGTCCCTGCTGGCACCATATGAGAAGGTGCAGATACGCTTCAAATATTGCACTGTTGATCATTAGGGTAGCAGAAGCACCTCTTCTACTGAAACTTAATGTTGTGTGCTATCCAAAAAGGGAAAGCTCTTGCTGACTCTTTGCTAAAAGAGGGAGCAGCTCCAAGTCCCTTAGCACGTCTTTGGGCTGTTTATGTGTATGTACTGTGTCTTTCTTCCTTGGCCAGATGTCTTCTCTCTTGAAGTAGCAACTGTGGAAGCCCAGTGCCATTCCACAGCAGCACTGCGGTGCTGAATCTGTCCTTGGCTGTCTTAAATGACAAAAGTGGCTCTGTTCCTTTCCTGCACTTAACTTGTAGATCCTAGACGCTGATCTAAGAAAGCTTCTGAAAAACGTAACCCCTCTCCCTTTACATTATAGGTACAAGTGGTAGAACTAAAAGTTACTTGGATCACTAAAAGTTTCTGTCCTGGAGGTACTGACAGTGTGAGCCCTCCACCCTCGGTAATCAGCCAGGAGAACCTGTCCAGGTGAGATGGTTTAAAAAACTCTTCTTGACTCCTCATTTTCAGAGCCTACATAAACTCTGGGTGATGTGTCTAGGCCAAAGCTACTGTTTCCAGTGATTTTTCTCCTATCTGTGTCCCTGTATATTCGAGACCTCCAGCGCGCTGATGGAGTAGCTTCCAAAGAAGCTTAGCAGACATGAGTTACCATTATGAGCTTGTCATTCCGTCGTCCTCTCCAAGTGCCCTCCAGTCAACATGGAGGGAAGCGATGTCTGGAGACAGCTTCCTTCTTTGCACAGAGGTTGCAGCCCGTGTGTGTGTACAGAAAGAGACGTTAAGCGCTGTGTCCCGCGTGGGGTCTGGTACTGAGGGAGCATCTGGTGCCCTCTGCAGGCAGCTGCTGCAGATAGAACTGGACAAAATTCAAAAAGCAGGGAGCAAGATGAGCAGTCACACAATGTAGCGTAGCCGCATCTGGAACTCGTCAGGAAGCAGGAGGAGAAAAGCACTCGAGTGACAGCAAAAAACATTGCCAACCTCAAACGCCTCTTGGCAGCGCCCTCTGGGAGCGAGGGGACTAGGAGAGCAGACACTAGTGTCCCACCCGAACCCTTTGTATATCCCCACCCAGTCCCTGGTGACTTTTGCTATTCCTCCTCTAGAACTGTGTGCATGGAAAAGATTTGGTGTTTTGTGCTGGTTTTTGTCACCCCAGGACATGCCAGCCTTGGGAAGGCTCTGGTGCTGGCTTCTGTGGCTGCTTTTGTGCATTCCTCACAGCTGTCCCCCTCTTCTACTAGGGTGAAGCGGCTGGGGTGCTTTGACCATGCCCAAAGACAGCTTGGGGAGAGGTGTCTCTACGTGTTCCCTGACAAGGTGGAACCTGCAAAAATCACCTGTGAGTGTCCAGAGAGGAACTGCGTCCTGGGTGAAGGATCGGTCGCCAAAAAGGTGCGTTGAGGGGCTAGCGGGAGGTATGAGTTGTCTGTGCATTTCTGGCCGCAGTGGCTTTTAAAGCAGAGACCTTCCTGCCAGTCACATGGCTGTGAAATGTGACTCCTGAGTGGCAGTTGCTGGCAACAAGCCACCGTGGCCCTTTACAACCAAGTCACCCTGTGCAGTGATCTCGTTGCACTGGGAGAAGCAAGCAGCTAATGGCAGCAGGGGACACGGCAGGACACTTGAACACAGAGGTGCTGCCCTGCAGGGGCAGCTCTGCTCTGACAGGTCCCACAGATGTGGCATTTTCATTAGCATGACCCCACATTCCTTGTGGGGTTGACCTTCAGTTAAGTCCCTGCTATAGTGAGACAAGAAAAATGATTGCGTCCTACTTGGGGCCGTGCTGTGGTTTCTGCACACAGAGCCCTGCCGTGTTCCCAGAACAGCAGGCATTAGCAGTGTGGATGGTGACCTTCCTGCATAGTGCTCTGTTATATAAATAACCTGGGAAGCCTCTTGGATCCTCCATAACAAAAAGATCAGAGCATGTTTAAAATGCGCATGTTTAAAACAAGAATGCTTTAAAGAGCAGAAACTTTTCTTGGACTAGTAGACCGGTGCATAAGGCCTGGCAGTGTTTGCTTCTGGCCAGAGCAGTGAGATGACTTTAAGATGCCACCACTGCCAACGTGACCTGCTGGTCTGCAGGATGCTCTGTCGTGGGTGAAGTGTCTGCGTAGCCCTGTGCCGAGCTAGTGTGTGTGTGTGGGCCTGTTGTCTGACCCCGTGCTGCTTTCCCCAGGTGAGGAGGCTGCTCAAGAAGCAGATAGTGAAGATCATGTCATGCTCCCCAGAGTCTCAGGCTCCTAGTGAAGCCCCTGACAAAGAGTCTGCTGCAGCTGCTGACCAGAAATCAGAGGAACCTAAGCCTGGATCCAAGAGTGAGGTGGAGGAGTCTTCCACCACTGCAGCAAGCGCCGGGGAGAAAAAGGAAGAGCAACCTGAAGAAACAGAGAAGGATAAGGGGGGAGCAGTGAGACAGCAGCAGCCCCCAAAAAAAAAAGTCTGACTACCGGCTTCAGTCCATGGAGCAAGATGCTGACGACGAGGCAGCCGATGACACCGACGACACCAGCTCTGTCACCTCTTCTGCTAGTTCCACCGCCTCATCCCAGAGCGGCAGCGGCACGGGGCGCAAGAAGAGCATTCCTCTTTCCATCAAAAACTTGAAGCGGAAGCACAAGAAGAAGAAGACCAAGGTTTCACGGGAGTTTAAGCCAGGAGACAGGTGAGCCCAACCCTGACGTGCTTGCCAAAACCTCCCTGGCTCGGGAGGGGAAGGCTGCTGGGCGCTGCGTGGCGGTGATGGCAGCAATCGGGGTGTGCTGGCTGCGCATGGCACGTGTGAAATGTGCCTGGTGCGAGTCCAGCTCCTGATGCATGCAACACGACAGCGATCCTCTGCTATCCCAGGGGTGCCTCAGGGCTTGGGCAGAGATCCGTGCCGCCCTTGTGGGGCAGCTTCTGCAGAGAGGCTCAGAATGGCCTGTGGTAGCAAGAATGGACAGTTTTTCCTTGGAGAGGAATCTCCAGATGAGCATGGAGGTCTCTGTTGGTAGGGATTTTAGCAGTGGTCCATGCTCTATCCCTGCTCAGCTCCGTAGATGTTTTTGGGTGGAGAGGGTATCTGTTTAATGAACAGAATGTGCTCCTTAAGAGTGTTGGAGAAAATCATTTTAGTAGTTTGGTGAGCGGAGCATTGCATGTCCCTGTCTTTGGATATAACAGGGAATGTTCTGGAAATAACTGGATTTCAGCAGCTTTTGCTTTTTTTCCCAGATTTGGGGATGCTTGAAGTGTTTCCAGGGGAAGTGCAGACCCCTGGCAGCTGCCTCGCCTGTCTCGCTGGCTCCCTTGCACTGCTTAGCTCTATACAGATCCAGCACCAGAAATCACTAAAGGAGATATGTGAAAATCCTCCCAGGAAAAAATGATGTTGTCAGGATGAGGGGGCCAGTATTGTGAGAATGCAGCAGACTTCATTCACAGTCTGCTTGGGTATTTCATCTTTGCCTGTGCACTAGAAGAGTATTTCTTTAGCCCTTGGGGGGGTTTGGAGAAGTTGTGCTTGAAGGTCACAAGCTTCAGCACAGCAGCATTCGAGTGTGGCCCAGTTTGCTTTTCCCTTCACATCGTCTTCCTGAGTGCCTGTGCTTTGGTAAAGGCTTTGCTAAGGCTCCGTTCAAGTAGGTGGAGGGGAGAGACCTCTCTCCCTGTGCTGCATGTGGGCAAATCGATACAAAGAAGAAAGTTCTGCTTTTGAGACAGTTTAGAGATGACTGTGTCACAAAGTGCAAGACATTGGGGCTTTTATGCAAACCAGCTGACACTTCATAGAATCACAAAAGGCTGAAGGTTGGAAGGGACCTCTAGAGATCATCTAGTCCAACCCCTCTGCACACGCAGGGTCACCTAGAGCACGTGGCACAGGGCTGCGTCCAAGCGGGTTTTGAAGATCTCCAGAGAAGGAGACTCCACAACCTCTCTGTGCAGCCTGTTCCAGTGCTCTGTCACCCTCACTGCTAAGGAATTTTTCCTTAAGTTCCTGTGGAACTTTTGGTGCTTCAGTTTGGGACTGTTTCTTCTAGCTCTGTCGGTGGCCACCAGTGCAAAGAGCCCGGCCCCATCCTCCTCACTGCCTCCCTTGAGGTACTTCTAGACACTGCTCAGGTCCCCTCTCAGCCTTCTCTTCTCCAGCTGAACAGGCCCAGCTCCCTCAGCCTCTCCTCACAGGGCAGATGTTCCAGGCCCCTCATCATCCTTGTGGCCCTGCGCTGGACTCTCTCCAGCAGCTCCACAGCCCTCTTGTACTGTGGAGCCCAGAACTGCACACAATACTCCAGATGCGGCCTCACCAGGGCTGAGTAGAGGGGCAGGATCACCTCCCTCGACCTGCTGGAGACGCTCCTCTTAATGCACCCCAGGATCCCATTGGCCTTCTCGGCCACGAGGGCGTTGCAGCTCCCTGGGCATCGTGGGGACCTCTGGTTATTTTTCAGTAAGCATAAACTGCTGCACAGACAGAGCTACGTCACTTTGTGGTTAACCTGCCTTTCTGCTCTCCCCCCTTCAGCTGAAAACTGCCCACCAAGCAATCCATCTCTTGATGTTGCTCACCATGACCTGTTGTAGACTTCACTTTCTGATAAGTTCTTACCT